CTACCCCTACGTCTGCAGTGCCCTTCTTAGTGCAGTCTCAGACTTGGTCTGCTCTAACCTGGGTGAGGTTTTGCCGAGGTGGTGTTCACCAGTGGGTTTGTTGTATTTAAACCTAAAACACTTGAGAGGCTGGATTAAGGGATTTGCTTTCCATATTTTTAAGTAACAGCAGTACTGAAAAGTGTCTGTGCAGTGTGTAGTGACGTATGTGGTGAAGAGTGTCCACGCCTGATTTACAAAAGCAAATATCTGGATTGTGCTAAGTGCATATTTAAAAGTAAAATTACTGATAACACAAAATGTCAGGAATATGGAGTAAGACTGGGCTGTCCAGTGAGCACGTGGACTTAACTAAAGGTCCTTTCACAGCTCAAACATTTGAGGGAACAGAAGAAAAATGCAGGTTTGCCTGTACAAACCAGTGGATTTTTATAGCATTCCTCTAGATATATCCAAGTCAAGAGTTTAAATTAGAAAGCTGGCTCTGTGGGCAGTTATCAGCAACCAGCATGTGCAGAGCTGTAGCTTCTGAATCTCTGTAGGAGTTCAGAATTGCTTTCTTTTTAATTAAAAAAAAACAAACACAAATATTTTCTCTTCTTGCTGCTAGGCTGAGACACACCAGCAGCTTAGGCAGTGCCTAGGCTGAGTCTCTTCTCCATAAGCACTTTTCTGCCTGGTATGGTTGTTCCCCACCTCAAGCTGATGTAGGGAGGACAAGGCTACACACTCCCACACCAGGGGAAGCTGCTGATCTGAAGGATGTGATGGTTGCCACAGCAGAATGCAGTTTTTTGGAACTTAAGGGAAACTTCAGAGGGATTCCTCTAGGGATTCTTAACGACCTCTCAGGCCAACCACTGTCAAGGACAAGGGCTACCACCCGATCAATGTCCTCTTTATATATAGTGCTAACTAAATTTAGTTTTAAATCTGCTGTGAAAATTTACAGCTTGTAATATTTACCTGACAGGCGTCCAGACCCTCTTGTCCAAACATACAGTTTCTTAATTTAGACACAAAATATGTCATGAGGCAGCAGCCTAAATTACATATTTACATCACTGAGGCAGGTAAGTACATATTTATGCAGCCAGCCCTGAGTTCTTATTTTAAAGAAATGGACTGGCTTGTTCAATGTATTTTTTAAAATCCTGGTAGTGCATTTGAACAACACGAGGTCTGGGAGCTCTCAGGGCCAGGGGCTGTCTCTGTATTGTGTGTTTACAACTGAGTTCTGCATGATGAGGCATCCTTAGGGGCTGCTGCAGTTGGAAGAATAAAATTATGTGACAACAAAGAGCAACTCCCTCTAAAATGCCTAGTGCCTAGAGATTTTTTCCTTCTTAGCAAACATGATTGCCCCAAAACAACTAGTATATTCTTTATGTAACAATTTCTTTATGGGTCATTGTTGAACAGAACTCAAGGCTTTCCATACCCAGAGTGAAATGCTCCCATCACTGCAACTACAAAATAGTTTCCTTTACAAGCTGTCACAACAGGGTTCCTCTCTATACCAATAGCTTAGGGGCTGCCTCACAGTTACCTATAGAAAAATACAATTCTATTCTACAGCAGTTCTTCAAGATCCTAAACTTAGTCCTTTGTGAATTAATTCCCACAAATAACCTTTTGATCTTGTGTAGATTTTAAATCCTAAGAAAACAAGACCAGAATCAAAGAACCAAGGGCACGTCTTCATTAGAGACAGCTCAGAGCACAAATCAGGTTCATGACACATTTTTGTGGCTTTTATCTATTCTTGAAGACAAGTGGCTCCTTTGAAATGTCAATGTGGTGTATAGATTAAGTAAGATGCATCCATAAAGAATGTGTCACATTTTGGGGAGTTCAAGCATTCTTTACCTAGGTGGGTAAGAAGGGCCTGACCCTGTTTAATGGTTAACTTAGTCTTACTGAAACCAGTAGGAGGATATCCCTGCCTGGTCCTCTGTGCCACTAGTAAGAGCTGTGTGATACAGCACTTTGTTTCAGGTGTTTGCTTTCTTGGATGAAAATCTTGCTGGGAGCTGTAGTTCCTGCTGGTGGGCAGTAGGACTTCTGTGAGGAAGTAACTTCTGTTACAACCCTGTATGGCAGTAGGATTACAATCATAAGTGTATGGCAAATTAAATCTGTATAGATTGCTTAGACTTATTGAGGGGGGAAAAAAAGAGTATAAATTGGATGGTTTTGCCACGATGCCTTTTCAGAGCTGATCAGTTCAGCTCAGTGCAACAAACACTACAAAAATTCTTCAAAGGGAAAGGCTACTTACTAATGGCAACTTGGTGTTTTCATCACCAATATGAAAAATACACGTTTAAATATTCAACAAGCTTTGCCAGATACATGCACCCTGTGTAACTGCCATCAAAGACAGCTTTTTTTATATTCTTAAGGGAGCAGGGTGAGTCTGAATCCCAGTCAGAGGACCTATTGGATGGGGATCTGAGCAGCCTGGTCTAGTGGGAGATCTCCCTGCCCATGTGCCCCCATGCAGGGTGTTTGGATCTAAGATGATCTTTAAGGTCCCTTCCAACCCAAACCAATCAAAATGGTCAGCAAGAAAATATCAGTGAGGTATTCTTGGGGTAGCCTTGTGTTTGCAGCATTGCTTTTGGTTTTGGGGATTCTATCTGGAATAATCCAAACTACATTTGGTAGGAAAAAAATAAAAGGGGGGTGGGGGGAAGCTTGATTATTAGTACTATTCTGTCTGAAATTTTGTCTTACACAATATTTGAGGAATGTGCTCAAGATTCATTCAGTCAGGTTTTGTTACTGGCTGGTTGGTGTTTTATTGCACCTTCACTGAACTCAGATCTGACTCTTTCTGTCAGGAGTTCAGCTCAAGGCTTCAGTCACCAAAAACCTAACTAGATTTCTCTGGTGTACAGTTAGTCTTGCTGAAGCGAAAACAGCTGATTAGTTAAACAGTTCAAAGCAGATATTTTGCTACTGGGTATTACAAATCCAACTGGCATGAATTGTAGAGTTGTGCGTTTTTCTATTTAAGAAGCTTTCTATCAAAATGCATTTCTTCCAGTTAGCTGGTGTGCTTTGCTTCGTTCCTTTGGCTGTCACAGTCTTATATTTTACTTGTAAATTACTCAATAGCAATTGGACAGATCAGACCTGTTCTGGGGCAGCCCTGCCCAGCCAGTTTACAGATTTGGAATTAATGTTTTCATACAGATTTTCTAGGTGGTCCTTGTGCATCTCAATAATTCCCTGTCCATCAAGCTGGTAATTTCTTTCTATACATGAGCTTTGGTTTTAGAAGCACTGTAGATAATAATAATCAATGTTTCATTTACTATAAATATGTCATAATTAGGAACGACTGATGACCAGATTTTTAAGCAAATTGATAGTTATGTGAAATGAAGGCTACCTTTGTATAATTGTGTACGTTGCATTCCAAATATTACATGGGCTATTAAGATGCCTGATCGGTATTTTCCTAAAAATATTAGCACATGGGTAACAAACAGAAAAATATGCTTTTTAATAGTCATATTGGCAATAAAACTAATCTGGATGGACTTCCTTGTGGATACAAGAATTTCTGTATCCACTCATTTTTATTCCCACTGGAAGGCATGCCTTCTTTATGGGTGATTTTAAAGATATTTTTCAAGATTTTTTTTTATAACACAGCACCAATAGCTGGCTGTGTTTCAGTAACTACTTTCACCTATTTTGCTTTCAATTTTTTCTATTTGTCTTTGATCTCCTTGGGACTTTGAAGCAAAAAAAACCCCAAAACACCAAACCCACAACGCCATATAATACTTATCTAATCATCAGGGCTCTTGTATCTCTAAAGATTTCATTAACAACGCTGCTTTCTCATTCCTGCAACCAGCTGAAGGTCTGCATACCTCTCCTGCAGATGTTGCAGGATTTCTCACAGATTAGTGAAGAATCCCTTTGCCAGTAGGTGCCACTGGTGCTCTACACACACGCCTGAATTCTCTGTGTCCTTCAGCTGAAAATCTAACCTTGAAAAAGCAAACCTAAATCACAGGGACTGAAATGTTGCAGAGGTAAAATGCTGTACAGACCATGGCCAGAGGCTTGGCCATGCCAAGACTAAGGTATATGCTTTATCTTCTTCCTAACAATAATTACATGATTGCTAATCTTGAGCAAAAGTGATGAAGAGATAAATATGCATTAATTCTAGGTATATTTAATCTAAGCCTTTAACTTGCAGCAAGTTTATTATTGAGCCTCAGACCAATAGCAGCTGAAGTTTGCAAAAATTTCCTCTGGACCAAATGTGATTTAAATGCAGAATTTGCCCATCAGTTTAATAAGAGTTTAGACTTTTGACAGCACATTGCACAGAAGTGGTTCACATACTTTCTCATCTGAGTAAAGCATCAGAGTGACCTACAGATATTTCTTCTGGATTTGCTGATTGGAATTGTAAGGTCAGCTAATGTAGCTCACTTTGCAGCTTATCTGCTGTTAAGTGCCATTCAGTACACAAACCAAGGGCAGTCAAGGTCTGCTTGCTTACTGCACTGGGAGAAACCTTGGTTCACCTTGTCCTTAGGTATGCAGCCATTTCATCTGTTTATTCTTGGATATTTCAGACATATGGAATAACACAGGTTTCTTTTGCTCCTCTTTCTTCAAATAAACATACAGCAGGCTGTGTGAAAATAATAATTAAAAAAAAAAACAACTAAGGACAAAGCAATTAAGATATTCACATGCTTTCATGTTCAATCCCACTCTGTTTTTTTTCTTACTGCAACTGAATAGAAATAAACAGATGAAAATTTTGGTTTAAGTGATTTAATATATCTTCTGACATTTTCCCAGCCACTTTTAGGTCAGACTGTAATCCAGCAACTTGCTCCAAAGAGCAGGCAAGACAGCCTCTCTAACCTAATTCTCACTCCTTCCACATGGAACAGATCATGCTTACGTGTAGGAGCAACAGGCTATATAAAGTAGGACTTAAGATCACCCTAAGCAGTTTACACATAGGTGTCCCCTGCTCTTCTATCTCTCACCAGTTGGCCAATGGCTTGCAGATATTTCTGACCCCCTCATAGTTGAGGATTCTACTAACGTTTTGGGGAAGGTCTCCCTGGTTGGAAATGAAGGTGTGAGTTTGAGCTGCTACATTCAGCGGACGAACAAAAGCAGAATCTGGTGGTCTTTTGTAGGAAATGGTGTAGACACTCTTCATCACTTGTTCTTCCTTGTTCCATTTTTCCATCACGTGCTCATAGAGGCCATAGTTGGTGGGTGGTTCTGAGACAGGAAATTATTAAATGTTAGAAATTATAGACTTAAAAGTTTGGACCCTGTGTTTTTACTGCACAGTTGTCACAGGGAATATCTGTACTATTTTGACAACAGATTAAGGCCAAAACATCTTTTCTGTTCCCAGGGCATGTATGTCTGCCCTCTGGCTGGAAGGGAAGATCACTGATATCAACAGGACAGCAGTATTGGTATAAATGTAAGGAGCCCTGATTCTTCATAGTCTCTCTGGTAGCTATTTTAAAAGTTAGCCAAGCTGCACATGTCACTTAAATTCAGAAACATAATAATACTCTATGAATTCTCCTGCTTCTCACAGCTCCCCTTCTTTTCAGCTGGTCCATTATTGCGTAGGGGAGAGAAATCTCTTCACTGACACTACCCTTCCCTGGTGGTGATTAAGTATTGTTGTATGGATAACATTTCCACTTTATGAGTTAAAAAAAAATAAGCTAGTGGCTGGGTAAGAAACTAGTTAAAAGTCACCACAAGATCCATCTTCAGAATTAAAACAGAAGGAGGTTCCTGCCTCTAAGTGTATATATTGAGCACTGCACCATGTTCCAGCTGTTGGAATTAATAATGCCAAAAACTACCAAGAATGGGGAAATCTGTTTTCTGAGGAACCCAGGAAAGCTTGCGTCCATTCCAGTGGCGGAGGGGAGGCAGCAGGGGGTTGTGTCCATGCCTGTTGTATTTATCCTCATACTCTGAGACTAGATTTCTTCTTCTTGGCTCCCCATGACAGATGAGGGAGTGCTGCAGTGGCAGGGCCTGAAATGAGATGTATGTCAAACCATGCTGGTTGTCTTTGCACAGAGCATTCAGCTGGCTTTGCATGCTCTGGAGTCAGGCTGTACTGCCAGTGATAACACAAAGCTCTATCAGTATTTACATGACTTATCATTTAATCCCTGTAAACAAGGGCATCTCCATTTCAAGTAAAGTAAATTTCCAGTTGAATTAAGCAACTACATCTGTCTGCCATGAGATCTTAGTCTGATTTCAACACATGCATCATGGATTTGCATTAAAGAAGACTGCAAATGACAGCTTGTGCTGCTTAAGTGTTTAATTGCGTGTTAGTATTAGATACACTACCTTCCAACTGTCTGTCAGGAGAGAATGAGAATAATATTAGGGGCTAGAGAGGCACCTTGGAGGAAGGGACATTCTATGGGATGATAGTTGTGGGAAAAGTATTGTTGTGAAAGATCTGGGACTTACTGACGTGCAGTTCATTCCTGTTAAGCAGAGATGTGCTGATGAAAATAATCCTCTTTTACCAACAAGTTCACATCCTACCCCAGGGAATGTCCTGAAGACACAATTCCCAGTCCTAGCTGGTAGTAGCACACTGGATTTCTTCATGTGCCCTGGTCACCCTCTGAGGCAGAGACTGGGAAATATCCAGGGAGTACCAAGAAGTATGTGACAGGCATCCTGCTTCAGTCAGCAGGGGATAGAGGGGAGCTCTGGGTCCTGTAAATTGGCCACAGACCTGAAGTGCCTTCTACTACACATACAGTTTTTTCAGGGTGTAAAATATGATTTAAGTATTAGTCCAAGTTCATTGCTGTTTGAAATGCTGGCGTCCCACAGCTCTCCATTTGACATTTCTTTTACTTACCTCATGCTTTCCCATCATGTATTTCTTTAGTGCTTGGTCTGGAGGCTGCGGTGGGGACCAAGTGAAGTCTGTTTTGTATATGCTGCTGCCGAGTTTCCCACTGTCTTTCATAAACTAGAGAGATAACACAACACTCAGTAGAGCCAAGGCAATCTGACCATCACAGCAGCTTTGTTCCAGTGCTGCTTTCCTCATCTACACATTTAAAATGCACTTGTTTGGAAAGAACACTGTGCTATTTACTTTTTTCTCAGATATTAAAGTCAGCTGCTATAATCAACCATTGTAAAATTCTGGATTGATTCCTTGGTGTAAATAAACTGTACAGCTCTTGAAAAATTATTCATGGTTTGATGTGAAATACTTTCACCTGCCATGTGAACTACCATCTGAAATGGACAAATAAACCCTTTTTGTTTTATCCCTTTGTTCCTACTTCTGCTGCAGCAGCCAACTCTCTACAATATAGTCTAGCATTTTGAGCCATTAAAAAAAAATTTAAAATCCAACAACTAAAGAAAGTAATTTTAGCAGAGTCAGGAGGATTTGCCCTAACAATTCCACTGTTGAACCTACCTGGCATGTTTTGACAGTTAAATGTCTAATGATAAAATATTGCTCTGCTCTCAAGCAGCTCTGCTAGCAAAGCTCTTGTTTATGCAAGCATATTAAACCAATACCCAAATTATTAAAGAGCCTCTGATACTCTTAATAATAAGTATTAACTTCTGGAAGAGCTAACGAAGCTTCTCTTCTGTAATATTGGTATATATTATTAAGCAGTAATAACAGTGTGAAGTGATTGCCATAAAGTGCTAGACCATTTTCAGTTGGGTAATGTTCTGTTTGGTGTGAACTACACAGTGTGACCCATGCTCAGGTGTTGCCTCTATCCCGGCTTAGAGGTGGCAGATCATAAATCAAATGAATTAATGTAGGGCAAGCAAGGTGTTTATCCTTCTCCTTGTTAGTACTCTTCCAAGATGAGCCTGGGCTCTGGTTTATGACTGCAGTAGTACAGTACCTGCACAGCATTGGTTCTGACATGCTCTAATCCTGCTCTCACACTTCCTTCCTGCTCTTACCGTTTTCCTCTGTTCCAGCCAGTTTCCAATGAGAACTCTAGAAGAGTATTTGGGTTGAATTTTCCACCATTCGTCTCCATTTCCTTGCATTCTAATATTATATTTTTTCCTCACCAGCATTACCCTCCCTAGGTGTTGGAGCTATCCTTCAACTTATGCAGGTGAGAGATTATTCAGTGCTCCAGTACTGACACTAGTACAGAAAGGGGCTTCACTCCTGCCAGCCTGAGTGCTGAGACATGAGTAATGTGTGGAACTGCTGGGTCCTAGACCCATTTGTTTGCTGTCCCCATGGTGATGGTCGTGCCAGTAACCACATTCTAGGTTGCATCATATTTACTGTTGAGCAAAAGAGTGGTTCCTGACCCACTGAAGTCTGGTGGCTTTTTCTCTAGTACAGTTCAGAATCAGAGCACAGCGTTGTGATATATGTGACATCCTCCTCTGTCCAAACACACCACATGCACCTGCACAACACACATTCTCTCTTCATAGACACACACTTTATTTCAAACAAGTGGGACAAACCAGGATGTCCATGCAGACTAATGTTCTTCTTTATTGACAGAGCTAAAGAGCTTGCAGCATGGTACAAGCTTGCATAAGGTTTGCATATTCCATGTTCCAACTAATAGCTGGAATGAGGTTCTCATGAGCCTTGTTTTTCGTTGTTAATGGCTGCCCTTGATTGACTACCCATCACCTGATATTAAATATCCTAAAAAGATATTTTCCTAGGTTGAGGCATGAACAGACTCTTTGAATCTAAGATGGTTACTATAAGCCTTTTAGGAAGGTGACAACACTGTCCAACCCCCTTTTCCCAGATGGAAATGAGAAACCACAGTAATCGTATAGGCTTATGATTCCATGGAATCCATCCTCAAGGTGGTACCAGGTCACTCGAACACCGTTGTCCTCCAGTCTCTTCTTGTAAAGCAAGCCATCATCTCTGAGCACATCATACTCACAAGTCAAGATGAAAGACTCAGGCAGCTGGTGAACAACAGCATCTTCAGCCAACAGAGGACACAGGTTGGGCTCGCAGAATCTTTTCACTGTCTCGTAAACTTCTGCTATAAAATCAGTGGGCCTAAGCGGCTTCACACCTCGGACCTTAAATTTTTCAGGGATGTTATCTGGACTCACCCACTTCTTGTACTTCAGCCTCATATCTGGAGGAATATGAGAGCCCTCCAAGACCTCTTGCACATGCAATGCATCCCCATTTAGGTACTGCAAAGCAAAGAAAGCAGCACGTTCTCGGAACAAGAGAGGGACTCCCCGATTCTGATGATAGGATGGTAAATTGAAGTCCAGTGCCTGAAGGCCTGGGTAGATCAAGATCTGGGCACGTAGTTTGGGGAGGTCTGTTCTGCCTGCCAGGGTCTGGCTAACAGCAGCTGCTAGATTGCCCCCAGCACTGTCCCCACAGACAATGACATTGGCAGGATCCACGCCATAGTGCTCGATGTCCTTCATGAAGTGGATGGTGGCATTGAGACAGTCTTCGTACGCAGCAGGGTAGGTGTGCTCAGGAGCTAAGCGGTACCTAGTGCACAAAAAGAGACAAGAGAAGGAAATTTCATTAATATTAACCACAAAATGGTAGCTTACGCTGTCTTCCAGCCCTATAATATTTTGCAGTTAAGCTGTAAACTGTGTATTCAATCACAAGGACTCAGTAAAGTAGGAGTCTTCTGACTAAGAGTCTGGCCAAGACTTCGCACATTTCTTTGTCCTGATGAAAACTCCCTGTGTATTCCTGACATGATAATTTCATTATTTTGTGTCTCTGCCTTCTAGGTGTAAAATGGGAGTAATGCAGTGTGACTGTTCTCTCTTCTACAAATCACAGTTGTTTAGAGCATCTTATTACATGTTCACATGTTCAGCACAAGGAAGATTTTTTTTTACCTAAGTTTTTCATTGGCTTTTATAGGTTTATCTCAGTGTGTCAAATATTGCCATTTGGGTCTTTTCTGAGTATATCAGGGCATGAACAGTTAAGAGCTGTGAAATCTCCATTATCACTGTCTCTTTATGACCTTAAGTGAATTCTACAGAAATTTCTGCAAAAAAAAGACCATCTGCAAAACCAGTGCAGCACTGCTTTGGCACCACAGCAACAATCATCTCCAGTCAACAGAACAGGGTAGGGTTCACTTACTGAACTGATACAACTACTGATTCACTTTCCCTGGATAGGTAGCGACACACTTTTTCATAGGTATCTGGAAAAGAAAGACTTGCATTAGTGCTTTGCCATTGCCCTCATCTGTGAGACAGCTAGAGTATGTTCATTCCAGAAAGGCATGTATTTTTCTTCAGACTCCTTCCCAAATAACATGCTTAAACCTCCTCTTATTTCAATTTTATAAAAAAAGATGAGAATGTTCTTTCTACATTACTGTCATTCCTCTAGCAAATATCTTACCCAGACTTCCAAACACCCAGCCTCCTCCATGGAAGAAGATGATACCTCTCCTTCGCCGATCAGAGGTAGCTTTAGGCTGATAAAACCTCACAGGTACTTTGTTAAACTGCAGATCCTGGATCAAGAGCTTTGGATCCAGCCCTAGTTTCCGTCCCTGTCGCACGTATCGGCCAAAAGTTATTTGACTGCAAAGCCCAGTCTTCTCCAAAATCCTTCCCTGTTAAAGAGAAAAAGAAATGAAGGCTTCTTTTAAAAGTTTTGAGTTAGCCACGGTGTAAAAACTCTGCACCATCCTTACATTGAACTGTATTTGAGGGAAATCTGAAAGAAACACAGAGCTTATGCCCCCTCAGCTTCCCTCCAAAAAAGCAGTAAAATTGTAAAATATGAATACACTACAAAAAGATACAATAGTAACAGCTCAAGAAGTTAAACTACCCTGAGGACTGTTCATGGAGGAGGATAATGGCTATGCAAGCACCTCCCAAACACTCTCTAAATGGCTTCCAATACACTCAGTACTGATGGAAGAGTTATCTGGAATAGTATGTGTAGTCCTTGGTTTTTGCCTTAAATAAACCGAAGGAAAACAATGTGGAAAAGTAACTCCACAGATGTTTTTTCTTTATGGCCCTAAGAAAGTGAGAGATTCCAGGACAGAGTCAGAAAACAGTATTTGTTTCAAGTTGGCCTAGATTAGTTTTGCCAGAAAGTTTTCCCTTTTATCCTACCAGCTAGAATCTGAAGAAACGGATTGAAAAATCAAGGGTTCACGTGCAGCAATTTGATCCCTGCTGTCTGATAAAAACACAGCTCTTTTGATTTGAGAAAAGCCATTTTCCCAAGCTCTCACATCCTACAGACTGTACAAAATTCACTTCCATTACTCAGATCCAGTGCCATTCTAATATCCCATCAGAAATTTTATATAGGCCATCCAAAAGGGCTGTCTTAGAGTAGACATTTTAATCATCAGTGTTGTCCTGCACACTTTTGTGCTCATTCCTGTTTCATTTATACTTGATAAAAACAATGAAATGCCATATATAAACAGCAATAAAAGCTTTTAATAGTTCATAAGTGGATATACTGACATTAATGAACTAGACAATAAAACTCAGTGAATTTGCAAATCTTAAGTGCTGAGTTGTGCTGTGCAGGTTCGTGGCTGCTTTTTATTTGCACAACAGATTGATTGAGCAAAATCAAGAAGCTTCCTTTCCCAATGCTCTTGCAGTGATCTTGCAGGCTAGAATAGAAGTCTGACGTAATAAGGGAACAAGCAAGAATCTAGGAATGAAGCACTGGAATCAAACCATAAAATGTTACAGCTACTGTTAAAGTTCAGTTACTAAACAAGATCCCAATTTTAAACGGCCAATGAGCGGTTTTTATCCGTTCCCATGTCACATCCCAGTGGGATTCAGGAGAGCTGTGTAGCTTTGTCAGTAAATTTCCAGATGTAAAAGGTGCAAGAAACAGCACGGATGAGAACAGGGACTGTGTGACAAAGATGATGTGGCTGAAGGAGTGAAGGACAAAACTGAAGGTTTTAAAAAAAACCCTTAAAGATACAGCAAGTGACAGAGGAAGAGTTGAAGATAGCTCTAATGCCGTTTATGCAATGCTGTAAGAGGGAGCCCAGGGATTAAGTAAAGCAGCCCTAACCGGATTTGGTACCATAAATGTCAGCCCCGGCAGGAGCAGTGGAAGGGCTTTCCTTGTGCAAGGTGACTTCCTCTAAAGCTGAGGGCAGTTATCAGACAAAACACCAACTCAGCTCTGAATTCGAGACTTAAATCAGCACCGCCGTTGGGCAATCTCTGCCAACAAGCCCCAGCGTGCTCCCTCTCATCGTGAAATGGGTTTTGCCCAAGACACGAGCAGCGTCCCGAGTGCGGGTGCTCTCCCCACGCTGCGGAGCCGCAGCATCACATGAGGGCGGCGGGGACACGCGGATCCCAATCCAGGCTCCCTTTTCCCTTGGTTTCCCAGCGCGTTCCGTGGGGCTGGGGCTTGGTCCGGCTGCCCAGCCCGGCCGCGGGGGGACCCCGGCAGAGAGCGGACCTGCCGAACCCCGCACCCCAGCCGGGACTCGGGTGGAAAAACATTCCCCCACCCCCC